GATATAATTATCTCTATATAAAACCCAGGAAAATCAGTAGAAAGGCTAGGAACACAGAAAAGAGTTCCTTACAATTACCAGATGGAAAAATCAATTATAGGACTGATAATCCTGGATGGTTCAGTCAGTGGAGCATTCAGCTCCTGATCTTGGGGTCCTGAGTTTGAGCCCCACATTGGGCATAGAGATTAGTTATGAGAAAGAAAGAAAGAAAGAAAGAAAGAAAGAAAGAAAGAAAGAAAGAAAGAAAAGGAAGGAGAAAGAGAAAGAAAAGCAATTCTATTCTCTGTAAGTAAAAGAAATATTTGCAATGTCTAAAGTGGACATGGGATTCATATGCAGAATATACAGTAAAATCTTATAAATCAACAAGAATAAGGACAGAAAAGCCAATAGGAAAAAATGCACAGGGACATGAGGAGGCACTTTAGAGAGAAAGAAGCTCTATTGGCTAACAAGAATACAAAGTAACACTCAAACTCACTAGTAATCAGAAAAATGCAGTTGAAAATAACCAAGAGTCTGGGGTGCCTTGTGGCTCAGTCAGTTAAGCTCTGATGCTTTTTTTTCTTTTTAAGATTTTATTTATTTATTTGACAGAGATCACAAGTAGGCAGAGAGGCAGGCAGAGAGAGGAGGAAGCAGGCTCCCCGCCGAGCAGAGATCCCGATGTGGGCCTCAATCCCAGGACCCTGAGATCATGACCTGAGCCGAAGGCAGAGGCTTTAACCCACTGAGCCACCCAGGCGCCCCAAGCCTCTGATTCTTTATATCGGTTTAGGTTTAGGTCTGATTCTTGATATCGGTTTACGTCATGATCTCAGGGTTCTGAGATTAAGCCCCGAGTCAGACTTGTTGCTGGGCATGGAGCCTGCTTAAGATTCTCTCTCTCCCTCTGCACCTACCCATTCCCTCCCTCTTTAAAAAAAAGAAAGAAAATAACAGAGAGTCCACTTAATACCCATTAGAATTGTAAAAATTAGAACATTTTAGGGGTGCCTGGGTGGCTTAGTGGGTTAAGCCTCTGCCTTCGGCTCAGGTCATGATCCCAGGATCCTGGGATCGAGCCCCTCATCCGGCTCTCTGCTCAGCAGGGAGCTTGCTTCCCACCCCCCATCTGCCTCCCTGCCTACTTGTGATCTCTTTCTCTGTGTCAAATAAATAAATAAAATATTTTTTTTAATGTTAGAACATTGTATAACATCAAGTGTTCGAAAGGAGAGAAGTGATAAGGACTTCAAGTAATAGTAAGAGTGTAAACAGCTACAAACCTGAAAAATAATCTAGCAGTATTCAGTGAAGTTAAGTTTGTATAAGCCTTCTGATCCAGAAACCGCAGTCCTGGATATATGTCCCAGAGAAATTCTTGAACAGGTTCACAGGGGACCATTTAAGAAGAGAATTCTCTAGCATTGTTTATAGAAGTTGGGAATGGATAAGTAAAGTGTGAGGGATGCCTATCATGGAATGCTATGCGATTGTTGTAAGCAATGAGCTAGATTAAACACAGCAATAAAGATGGAGCCTAGAAGCAGAGTTGGCTGAAAAAAAAGTAAAACCAAAATCATACGGTGATGCCACTTATGCAAATTAAAAACAATTGCCCTAAACAACTGTAGTAGGTTGAATAATGACCCAGTCTGAAAGATGTCCATGTCTTAATCCCCTGAATCTGAGAGCGTTACCTTATATGGCAAAAGGGATTTTGCAGATGTGGTTAAGGACTTTGAGATGGAAGGTTATCCTGGATTATACGGGTCACTCAATGTTAACACAAGGGTCCTCATAAGAGAGAAGCAAGAGATCACTGTGGATAGTAGATGTGATGACAGAAGCAGAAGTTAGAGTGATGGACGAAGAGGCCATAAGTTAAGGAATTCTGACAGCCCCCAGAAGCTGGAAAAGGCAAGAAATGGACTCTCTCCTGAAGCCTCCAGAAGGAACAGAGCTGTGTCAGCACCTCGATTTTAGACTCTTGACCTCCAGACCCATAAGATAATAAACTGGCATTGTTTGAAGCCACTAAATGTGCAACAACTTGTTACAGCAGCAAGAGGAAATTGATGTGCAACCTTACATGTTTTATAAGCACACGTGCAAAGTCAAGAACTTCTCTCAGTCACATTAGAGTGATGTCCACAGGGCAGAGGAATAGGAGAGAAATAAGGGGTAAATGATAGAATAAACAAGAGAGGTGGCTTGCGGCCCCCTGTACACAAGGTCTAGCAAAGACGAACAGAAGGAGGTCACTCTGCTGTGTAGAAAACAGGTTGGATGCTCTGATAGGTATGACAGATATTCTTGACAGTGGCTCTGTTAAAGACTTCTCTGATATAAAAACCAGTCTCCCTTGTATCTTGATTCTGTGAAGGTGATGCCCTCAAGAGCAGACATAAATATGTTGGTCATTGAAAGGTATGTCCTCTTGGTAAATCATTCCATTTCTCTTATGAATTTGATTAATATGAGTCAGTCCCTAGATCTACTCCGGGTGGTCTGACAAACTCATGTTTCCAGGTTTGTGAAGCTGAGGACCAGACCTGCATTGTGCTGACTGCCTTAAACCCATGTAAAATCACTATAGAGCCAACCTCTGTCTTGGTGCCTCCCTACCTTTCAGATTTGGTCTTATTCCTCCCTATATCCCAAACCCCTAGCAAAGGGCTTTACACACAGTAGGTGCACAATGCTTGTTACTAAGACCCATCCCTGTGGGTCTAGTGGCTAGATCTGGCACATTCACAGTGCCTGTCGGTGGAAGGAGGTGACCTTCTTTTCCTCAACTCAGACCACCTTTCTAGTTTAATTTCCTTCTATTTCCTACATTCCATCTACCCTTATGACCTCACTATTCTCTGAACACTCTATATTCTTTCATTTTTTTTTTGTCTTTGTTGAACAGCCTTTTCTCTTTTAAAAGAAGAAGTTCAAATAATACTTCTTGGAGGTCTTCCTTGTCACTCCATGCATTCATTTGATCAATTATTCATCCTTCCATTGACTCATTCAACAAATATTGAGCATTTTACAAGGCAGGCACTAAGCAAGGCATTGAAAATATGATGGCAAGCGAAAAATAAAAGGTCACCACCTTCATGGACATCTAGCAGGGGGACGGAGTTTAAAAAACCCAATATATTATGTTCACATTGATGAATAATCAATTACCAACTGAGATGCATGCTCTGAGGAAACAAACACTATTCTCTGAGAGCACAGAACCAAGGAATCTTTTTTAAAATTAGGGCGGGTTGTGAGTAGAGGGGTTAAGGAAGGCCTCTAAAGGACGTAACAGTGAATATCAATTTGGAGTCATGAATAGGCAAAGTGGAAGCCACAAAGGCATTCCAGACAGAGAGACTGGAGGGAGCGTGAGGATTTGAGGAATTGAAAGAGGCAATGAGGGGCGCCTGGGTGGCTCAGTGGATTAAAGCCTCTGCTTTCAGCTCAGGTCATGATCTCAAGGTCCTGGGATCGAGCCCCGCATTGGGCTCTCTGCTCATCAGGGAGCCTGCTTCCTCCTCTCTCTCTCTGCCTGCTTCTCTGCCTACTTGTGATCTGTCAAATAAATAAATAAAATCTTAAAAAAAAAAAAAGAGGCAATGAAGTTGGAAAGCAGAGAATAAGATGAGGAGTGTGAGTGAGCAACAGTCAAGGCACAGTGGTAACAAGACCAGATTTGCCATTTTGGAAAAATTACTCTAGCTGCTATATGGTGAATGTATTAAAGTGGGGGGCAAGAGAGAATGGAGGGTGGGAAACTCTTGCAATCCTGTAGGTGAGAGTAGAGTGGATTAGGGTGGTGGTACTGAAGAGGGAAAAAGTAAACGAATTGCAAAGAATGAAAAATACTAGGAGTGAATGAGAGATTGTAAGGGGAGGAAAAGTGGGGTTTGAGAACAACTCCTGGTTCTTGACTAGCAGAATCCACTGTAGTCACGGAGAAAATCTACCAGTCCTGTGCACTTGAAACCATAGCCCATTTTCCCAACATCCATTAGAGGTCACCACTCCATTGTAACCCGGGTAGTGTAGGTTCCCTCAGTTTCACACCCCTGCCTGCGGGTAACAGGCTGGGGACCCTCCTCTCCCCAGTCCTCTAGGCCTGTGGTGTTGAGTTCCAGTGACACTGGTTTGAGTCCTGTTTCTTATCCGTGAAATGGAGACCACACCTCAAGGGTTGCAAAGATCTTGTGAGAAAAGATGGTTTGTTTGTTTGTTTGTCTAAGATTTGTTTACCTAGAGAGAGAGAGAGGCCGGTGAGGCGGGGGTGAGGAAAAAGAGGAGAGAGGATCTCAAGAGGACTCGCCACTGAGTGCAGAGCCCCACGTGGGGCTAGATCTCACAACGCTGAGATGGAGACCTGAGCCAAAATCAATAGTCGGAGGCTTAACCGACTGAGCCACCCAAGTGCCCCAAAGATGGTTTATTTTTATTATCGTTAGGCTCAGTTCTATTCCTTCCAGCCCTCTCTGTCCGTTTGGAGGCGCTTTCTCCTCCCAGGCACAAAGGCAGAAGACGTTTCCTATACCGGTCTGGGCGCTCTCGGGTCAGAGCCCGGTCTGGGGATCCGGCCAGCCTCCAACACCGTTAGCTTCTTTCAGGAGTGCCAACCCTCCCCGCGAGGCCGCGAGAACGGTCCTTCTCCTTGCAATCTCCAGACCTCGCGAGAGTAGGCAGCGCCCGTTGTGGGAAGGACTCGGAGCGCCACGCCTTCCCCGGCCTCCGAACGCCCCCCTCCTTTCTCTTTTTCCCGCCTCCTACCCCGCGCTCCGCTCTCTGATTGGCTAGCTGAGTCGGGTCAGTTTTTTCCTGGCCAGAAAGCGGCTCGACAACTAGCCCCGCCTTCTGGCCCCGCCTCCGAAGCCTGTGGATTGGGCTGCTCAGCCAGGTGTCACGCGCCTCCGCGGGGAGCGCAGAAGAGCCAATCAGGCGCTCGGCGTATTTTACAAACTGGGGAAGTAGCTGCAGCTGAAGCCAGTCAAGAAAAAGCGAATCCAGTTGGGGGGGTGAGCCAAAGTGGTTCCGAGGAAGGTGCGGCGTGGAAATCTTGGACGGACTGGGGGGCTGCGGGGCTCATAGGGAGGAGAGGCCGCTAGGGGCCCTGGGGCGAGAGAGTAGGATCGGGGTGCCTGGAGGGAGCGGCTTCCTGGAGCGGCCTTGGAAGCATCAGGTCTTCTGGGCACATGGGTTTGGGCGGAGGTGGGAGCTTCAGGGATGTCAGAACTGGTGCTCCGAACTGGCTGACCTTTGATCGCAGGTCCTGCTTTTCTTCCCATCTTAGCTGTAGCAGTCATGACTACCCTCCAGGCTACGAAGGATCCTGTCCTCAGGGGTGTATCTCCTACCCCTAGCAAGATTCCCGTACGCTCTCAGAGACGCCCGCCTCTCCCCACAGTCAAACCCTGCGCCCTGGACCAGGAGAACCAAGATCCAAAGGTAAGAGGGGCCTGGTGGGTGAAGACAGTACCTGCAAGGAGACATTACATACCACCAATGCACCTCAGAGCTGAGCCCCCGCTTTTTGTCTTCCCCTCCCCCAGAGATTGGTGCAGAAGCCCAACCTCGACTCAGCAGGCCCCGGGCCGAAAGTCACACATCAAACAGAGAAATCAGAGAGATCGGTGGGGAGCACTCAGCTCCGGAACCCCTTGGAGGAACTGAGGCCTAGCCCTGGGGGACAAAATGCGGGGCCTAGGCACCCTCCCCAGACAGGTACCTGTTGGAGGTTTAAAAACACACAGTTTCCTTACGTGGGCATGGGGGAATGGGGTGGGTGCAGTCTGCTTGGGAGCTTTCCACACTACCCTGGTCTCCTGCATACTGTAAGCAGAGTCTTGAACCCTGCTCCTGGACATCTCTCTACTCCCAGAAACCGCCCCTCCCTCTTCTAAAGCCTTTTCCAGCTCCCTCAGTCACAATCAATTGCCATGTGTGCTAATACTTTGTAGTTCTTCTTTTATAGCATGTCATACTTTGACTTGAGCCTGTCACCTCTCTAGAGTGTGATGGTGACTTCTTGAGGCTGGGGGCTTTCTCATTCATCTCTGAATCCCAGTACCTGGAACAGTGTCTTACCTAAAGTAAAGTTCAGGGTGCCTGGGTGGCTCAGTGGGTTAAAGCCTCTGCCTTCGGCTCAGGTCATGATCCCAGGGTCCTGGGATCGAGCCCTGAATCGGATTCTCTGCTCAGCGGGGAGCCTGCTTCCTCCTCTCTCTGCCTACTTGTGATCTCTGTCAAATAAATAAATAAAATCTTTAAAAAATAAAATAAAAAAATAAAGTTCTATGAACTTCTGTGAGCCGAGTTCAATAATATGAGTCTCTAGCTCACTCTTGCACCTCAGGGTGACTACGTGGCAGCCCCGGGTCCCCTCAGCCTTCCTCCTCTTCTCACCTTCTCCTCTTCTCTTGCAGAGGCTCCAGGGACTGTAGAGTTTGTGGCCGACCCCGCAGCCCTGGCCACCATCCTGTCAGGTGAGGGGGTGAAAAGCTGTCGCCTGGGGCGCCAGCCCAGTCTGGCTCAGAGAGTCCTGATTCGAGGGAGCCAGGGAGGCACCACCCGTAGGGGCCAGGTAATGCGACAGGATATGAGGAAATCAGGCCTGTGTGGACAGAGGAGGGAGTCCTGAGCCAGTGCTGATGACCTCATTTGTGGTGTCAGGGTGCCCGCGCCTCTGCATATTTAGCCCCTAGAACCCCTGCCCACCGACTGGACCCTGCCAGGGCTTCCTGCTTCTCGAGGCTGGAGGGACCAGGACCCCGTGGCCGGACCTTGTGTTCTCAGAGGCTAGAGGCCCTGGTGAGTGCTCCTGAGGGGCTGGGATCCTCGGTTCTTCTGTGAGCTCCTCCCTGGGACCAAGCTGGCCCTGAGGAGGGAAGATACTTCCTGATGAGCCTGAGCGGTTGTGGAGGCTGATGGGGCTGGTGGTGAGGCCTGAAGGTTTGGGGCCCATGGCTGACTCTGCTCTTTTCTCTTGCTCCCGTGGGTTAGATTCCACCTTCAGGACCTTCCTTTCACCCCTCTGCTCACCCCAGTTTCCAGGAGCTAAGAAGAGTGACAGGTGGCAGCAGCCGGTGAGGAGAGGATCATTTGGAAAAGAATGATCCAATGTCTGATACAGGGGTCCCTCAGAGCTAGAGATTTCCTGTAGCTTTAAGACTCCCCAGCAGCCGAGGAGGGGAAGGGGGAAACCTGTGACTGCCCAGGCTGAATCCTTATAAGAGGGTTCAGGCCTCCACAGCCAGGCCTCCGTATGACATCAGTTTTTTTCAGGTTGTGGGGGGAAGAAGGAACAGAAATGAGAAATGCTGTCTGTTTTGTTTATTAAAGCATAGACTATGGCAATAAATGGGACTTGGGTTTGATTCCTGACTCTCAGCACTTACTAGAGTAAGCTTACCTTAACCCCCTCAAGCTTGTTTCTTTAATCTGTCAAATGAGGGTAACATTTGTATCATTAGAGGTTGTTGTGCAAAGACTTAAATGAGATGACGTTTGTAAAGCACTTAGCAAAGTGCCCAGCTCACACTTGGTACTCAGTGACTGCTAGCTGCTATCCTTATTGTCGTCAGGACTTCAGTGAGCCAGACCTCAGGATTGCTCCTGGAGACCCCAGTCCCGCCTGGTGAGTGTGTCTGGCCACGGGGAGAAAAGAGGGGCAGATGGGCTGCTTAAGTTGGAGAAAGCTCAGTGGGTGGGGAGGGGGCTCGAGGGGAAGGCCACATCAGGAGGAGCCACCAAGGAAGGGACCTTAATAATAGGCCAGAGGTTGTCCAGTTACACTTGTGTCAAAGGAGGTGGTCCCCACTTCAACCCTTTCTCTGCCACTTCCTTTTAAGATTTACCTTCCACTCACTGTTCTGTCCTCAGCCCTAAGAGCCACCATCACACCCCTAGCCTACTTGGGGTGTTCAGATTAGTAAGTGATTACTGAGATGTTGCTGGGCTCCAAGGGGCTGCTAGGCGGGTCCTACTGATTGTACAGTGGGGGCTGTCAAGCTGACTTACCCTCTTTGGAGGTTCCAAAACCCTATGCCAGCCGTTGGTGTGTGTGCCAGCACTACAGCAAACTTCCTGTCTCGTCCTAGCTCCCTCTCTCCCTGAAGGAGAACATGAAGTTGTTACTCGCTCAGATGAAGGAGGAGGGGGCCCCCTAGGTCTGGCCCAGCGGGTACCATTAAGAGAGATAACCCACACCAGGGTGAGATGAGATCCTTCTAGGATGGGGGGAGAAGGGGAGATGTTTGGGAGGAATTCTCTGGCATTGGCCAGCACTGAGGATTTGTGGGTGGGGGTCGGGATGTAAATTGAGTCTGTTTGCCCCACGGGCCCAAGGCCTCTCCAGAGTAGGTCTAGTCTCTGCTTACCAGCTGTCTGGAGCCTGGGGCTGAGAGGTCACAGTCTGGCATTTATTTGTGTCACACAGCAGATCAGTGCCTAGAGCAAGGCAGATCTGACATTCATTGACTCCACAAGTGTTTGTTGACCACTTACTATGTGCCAAGCAGTACTCTAGGTTCTGGATACACAGTAGCAAATAAGTTCACATTATAGAAAGGGGAGACCATTTAAAAAAAAAAAAAAAGTAAAATATGTAGCCTGTCAGGTGGTGATGAGTGAAAACAAAGTAGACACTGAAGGGGGTGTGGAAGTAGGGGAGGGGGTATAGCAATTTCATATAGATTGGTCAGGGAAATTAATTGAGAAGATGACATTTCAGCGAAAACCAAAAGGAGATGGGGAAGTGAACCATGCAGATATCTGGGGGAAGAATGTTCCAGGCCAGTTGAAATGCAGATGCAAAGGCCCTGAAGCAGGAATATGCCTCGTGTGTTTGAGGATCAGCAGAAAGGAGACTCCAGCCAGGTTGAAGCAGAATAAGGAGGACAACAGGAAGTGAGGTTAGGGTGATGGCTAGATCAGATTGGGTAAGGATTTAGAATCAGTGTGAGGCCTCGGCTTTTCCTTGGAATTCGTGGAAAGCCATGGGGCGGGGCGATGAACAAGGGAGAGACAGGATTTGATTAGTTCTTAAAAGAATCCCACTGGCTGCTGGAATGAGGAGACATGGGAATGCAGAGGGGGAGCGATCACTCTTCCACCTTGTTCCTCCCCACAGGACAACAGTGCCTCCCACCTGATATCCTCCCCTGGCCGAGTGGTGCCACCGTCCATCACCCACCCATCACCCTTTGGACGGGCTCAGCGCATACCCTCTCCTGGCCCCTCAGCTCCAGTTTGTATCCACCACTCCAGAGGGTGGGGGGCTTGCTGGGTAAGGGGAGAACATTCTGGCTGGGATCCCTGCCAGGTCTAGCTCTTGGTCCTGCTTAGCCATCCTCCTCTCTCCCCAGCCCTCATATTCGGTTTTGAGGCGCCTTGCCATTCGTCCCAAAACCCAGTTCACACCCATCCGAGCGGCCCCTAGGGTTCAGCAGGTAAGAGAGAGCAGGGGAGGTAGCTGACCTAGGCCAGGGTGGGGGAGGAAGGGAATGGATGGGAACAGGGAGAGTTACAATGTCCCCCTTCTGTCCCAGGCCCAGGGTTTGAGCGGCCTCTCCCCTCAGTCATGCCCTGAAGAGCCTGCCCTGCCCTGGGTATGTATCTGAAGGCTTTTGGTGCTGGGATCCCAGCAGTCTGAGGCAGGCAGGCTCCCCAGAGAAGCTACCAGCTCTCCAACACTCCGTGCTCCTCGGCTGTGCCTCCTGCTTTAAGTTTAGGGCTTCTTGACTAACCTGAGCCCTTCCTGGTATGGGGTGTGGGGTGATCTCTTTCCTGCCCCAGACAGGCTTCCTCACACAGCCCCTCTCCTTCCCTGTGCCAGGAGCAGATTGCAGTCCGGTTATTTGACCAGGAGAGTTGTACAAGGGTGCAGGAGGGGCCTGGGAAACCCCCTGTGGCAGCTTCTGACCCTAGTACACCTGCCACGCTCCAGGAGCTGAAGATGCAGGTGGGTCTGCGTGTGGGCCTGATGCCTGCCTGACAGCAACAGAGGATGCGAACAGGACAGTGTGGGTGGAGACTTGAACCCACACCTTGACATCCCCCTGAGGGCTCTTCTCCTCCCCACAGCGCATCAGTATCCTGCAGGAGTTGTTGCGACAAGAGGTGGAAGGGCTGGCTGGGGGCAAGTGTGCCCCCCTTAATGGAGGTTCCTCTCTGGAAATGGTTGAACTTCAGCCCCTTCTGGCTGAGATTTCTAGAACCCGGAATGCCCCAGAGCAGAATTCGGGGGCCTTACACCTTCCTGGACTGTTCCAGCGCCCTGGGCTACCAGAGCCCTGTGTTCCAGAGGAGTGTGGGGAAGCGCAGCCCTGCCCAGGAGCAAAGCCGGAGGCAGCTCAGCCCTGCCTTGCAGCAGAGCCAGAGTCCCCAGAGTCCAGCCATAGCAGGGAGCCTGAGATACCAGAACCCTCTGTCCAGGAACAGCCTGTGATATCAGAGCCCTGCCCTCCAGTAGAGCCCGGACACCTGCAGGCTGACTCCCATAGGCACGCTGGACTCCTAGAGCCCTCCCCTAGGATAGAGCCTGGGGCATCCGAGGCCTGCTTCCCGGAACCAAGTCTGGAGTCCAGCCCACAGCCCTGCCGCAGTCAGTGGGCTCCAGAGACCACCACCCTGATCTTCTCCTCCCAGCACCCACTTTGTGCCAGCCCCCCTATTCACTCACTCCAGTCTCTGAGACCCCCAACAGGCCAGGCAGGTAAGGAGTTGGTTAGAAGGGATTCTGAACAAAGGAGGTCCTCATCTCTCACTAGAGGCGGGCTCCTACCTTGCAATGGGTGGTCCCATGCTTTCCTCCAGCTCCCCTAGCCTAGCACTCCTTGGGAAGGAAGGGAGGAGTTGCCCCTCAAGCTCTGTGCTCCTAATTGGCTTGGCCCCTGGGGGTGGTGGGGCAAGGTAGTGGGATAGGGCTTTAGATGGTGGGAAAAGAGGACTCCAGAGCCTGCCCTGAAGTCTCTTTGGCCCTTGGCCCTCAGGTCCCAGCAGTCTCGCCCCTCGAACCCTGGCCCTGAGGCAGCGCCTTAAAGCATGTCTGACCGCCATCCACTGCTTCCATGAGGCCCGCCTGGATGATGAATGTGCCTTCTACACCAGCCGAGCCCCGCCCTCAGGATCCTCCCGGGTCTGCACCAACCCTGTGGCCACATTACTTGAATGGCAGGATGCCCTGGTGAGCCCCCCAACCACAGCCAGGCTGTGCCTGCACAGCACACCTGGAAAATGGGGTGGTGCGGGTGCTGGGGAGAGAGTGGGGGCGGGGGGCCAGCCTCTGATCCTTTGGGGAGGGCAGTGGGGAAGGGTTGGCTATGGTTCAAGGATGGCTTCTGGGCTGTGACAGACTTCTCTCTCCCCAGTGTTTTATTCCAGTTGGTTCTGCTGCCCCACAGGACTCTCTGTCATGATGCATCCACCTCCTGCCCTGCCTTGCTCCTTGCTCCTTTTAGCCCTTATTTATTGTCCACCCCGTGAGACTGGGAGCCCATTCCCTTTATTCTTCAATAAAGTTTCTTAATTGTCGTCGGAATGTCTGTTTCCCGCTGGGCCCATCTAGGCCAGCTACAGCTGTTGTTCTCCAGTTGCCCACACGGTGGCAGTGTCCTCCAGCTTAGAGGCGGGCCCTGGGCTCTCCGGATTCCCCAGGCTCCCTCACCTAGAACGGTCCTAAAGAGGCATCCCACTCCCGCCAACCTCCGCCCCTGCGCGTTGTAGGAGTTTGTGTGGGCAAATCTGGACCTTTCCGGACCTGCTCTCCTTGCTTTTTGAGATCAATGCCCCTCTCGGGAGCCATCAGCAGCTCCTTCCTGCCCTAGAGCTCATCTTCTTACAGCTCCCCCTGCATCAGGCAAAAAGCAGAAGCACCAGACCCATATCTCTGGAACTCCCCCACCCCGCTTGTTAGTGTCATTCTGGCTGGTGTCTCCACGCCCGTAGGAGGTCTCAAAGCTCTCCGGAAGCTTATGTGCCTCCCTTTCCATATCAGAGTAGAAGCCCTGGGCTACTCTCCTCCTCTCTTCCCCCAGAGACAGGACTTGCCAGGAATAAGTAAACCTTTGCCTCTGGCAGAGAGTGGTAGGACCAGAGTCCTTGACAGCAGTGAGGGAAAGGGTCAGTCCTCCTCCCCCACTCTGGGCACTAAGTTAAGAAGCACACACGTTCTCCAACTTCACTTTATTGGGCGAGGCAACAGCAGCTGTGGCCCCAGGGCCTAGGCAGGATGGGCGGGAAATGGGGACTGTACAGAATGAGTTATAAATGCTAGGAAAGAATTCACTGGTTCCTCCAGTTCACAGGAAGGCTGCTAGGCCAGAGCCTGGAGCCTGAAAAATGGAGATGAAGGGAGGAGAGGATGGAGAGAGAAAGTTGTGATAGGGAACAAGCGCCAGCCAAACGTTTCCTCTCCTCCCACCTGGATGGGCTCCTGTTTATGCTCTCCACCCCCTCGCTCACAGGGCCGCCCCCGAATGCCGGGGCTTCCTTTCTGCTTGCAGCTCCGGGTGGTAAAGCTGTTCCCCAGCCCCCCGCAGTAGAGATGGTCTCTTCCGCTTTCACAGGCACGAACTCTGACCCCGGGGGGCCCTTCTGGAGCCGCTCTGCTCCTCAGCACGGCCTCCTCCTCTTCCCAGCCACTTCGACCCCTGGGAGCGTGGAGAGTCCACCCAGCAAGGCTGCCTCGGGAGCGGGAGGGTCCGCCCCGCCGCCAGGCTCTCAAAGGAAGGGGTGGCACGTTGGGTGGGGTCGGCTGGAGGTGGGTGGAGAGGGGAGCAGAGGCGAAGGGCGAGCAGGGGCGCGGGGGATGGGGCCCTGCTCAGTCCGGGTAGATGATGAAGCCGGAGAAAGTGCTGTACTTGTTCGTGTTACCGCCGTGCACCTTCCCGCCGTCCAGCTTGATGAAGACTTCATCACCCACATCCAGGTGCAGGATGACACTGTTGCTGGCGTAGTCGTAGTTCTGGTCCGCGTCCTGAGCGATGGCGCTGGCCCGGACCTGGCGGAGAACACAACACGCCGCTCAGCCCCTGTGCGGAGCTCGGGTGTCGAGAAGCGTTGGGCGGAGTAGGTGCCCTGGGCCCGCGAAGGCGGGGCGAGGGGAACCGGCTGCAGGGGCTGGGGAGGAGAGAGAGCGCGCAGGAGACCGCTGAGCTTCTCAGGCACTGCTACTCCCCAGCTGTGCGACTTGACAAGTTTCACGCCTTCTCTGGTCCTCAATTTGAACTAGAAGATGGGAGGTCATAATAGAGCCGACCTCATAAGGTTGTTAGGATTAAGTGAGTTAGTACATAAGAAGTGAGTTAGAACAGCGCTTTGCACCTAGAAAACGCTCTATAGGGTTTGCTATTATTAGCATTCAAACAATAAAATTAGCCTGTAGGGTAATTGATAAGATTCTGAACCCACTCTGACCTCCTGAAGTTTCGTTCCCTTCCCTCAGTGATAGGGCACAGGTGCGTCTGTAGCCTGGGAGCGAGGGTGCGAGACATGGGAAGGTGCAATGATGCGTTTTCGCCTCTGGATGCCCTTTCCCCTTCTGGCGCCCACTGGCGCCAGGACATAGGGGTCGCCTTCCGCCCCAACAGGTAACCTCTTCTTCCCTCTGGCCTCGCTTCTGGTCGCCTAGGGCCGCCAGCCCCTTCCCCAGCCCCCCTCTTTGTGTCCCGCGGGGGCTGGTTATTAACTCATTAATTATTCATCATTATTCTAATCACTATTTACCGTCCCCAGGGCCGCAGCGCCCGCGCCGCGGAATACAGAGTGGGAGCCGCGCGGCCCCCGCCCCCCTCTGAAACCTGCACACTCTAGATAGACAGTCGCCCCCTCCTCCTGCTCGCAGATACCCTGCATAGACCACACACACCTACTCAAGGCCCCATGCAGATAGACACTGATCCATTCTCCCACCCCGCACCCACAGACACTCGCATCACGCGCGCACACACACACACACTCCCTTACACACAAACGGCTGTCACTCCCATGCAGGCACACATAGAGTCTCTCTTTCTTTGGGTCCCTGGGGCGGCCCTGCTGGGAGGAGACCCCAGTGCAATGCCTACTAGTCCTGGAGCAGCAGGGTGCTGCAGCTGGAGCAGGACCCGGGTCCATACCTCCAGGACCCGGGTCCATACCTCCAGGACCAGCAGGCCTGATGTGCCACGGTCCACATCTGGCGCACAGAGCATTCAGAGGTCACCGCTTAGCCCCAGTCTTACCCCCTGCAGCTTGTGGGGCCCAGGTGCCTTGCCCAACCCCCACTCCGCGGCCTCTCGTTCCCTCTCTGCATGCCCCAGTCCTCCTGCTGAGTCCTTGGAGCTATTCTCCCAAGTCAAGGTGGCAGTGACTCCAACTCTGACCACAGGGGCAGGAGCAGCAGAACCTGGAGGCCAGAGGTTGCCAGGGAAGATGTGGGGCCTACAGAACCAGCCCAGGGTCCAAAGCTTCTGCCTTATCTGTTCTTTGCCTCGTTCCCCTTCCAAATCCCTTTCATCATGCTGCCCAGCTGGCCGGTGAACTGCCACACGATTTCCACCTCTGCCTACTGACTCAGTATTAGCTAAGGGTAAGGCCAGCTCTAGAATGGTCTGAGGCCCTGGGTGAGTGTCGTCTTTCTTTTTTGCCTTTTACTCGGAAATACAAGCTGAATGCCCCCAACGAGAACAGCTGCCCACTGCCCATTGCCAGAGACCTGGATTCCATGCTAATTCAAAAGAGCCAGACTCCAGGTAGTTCACCCGTCCTGAGGCTGGGAAACCCAAAAGCCAGAAAGGCTGCCTCAGAAGAGAGGGTGGCCCAAGACAGGGCAAGAACAGACGCTAACTGGCAGGATGAGACACCAAAGAAGTTTTGGTGTAGGGTTGCCTGTAGTTGGAGAGTGAGGATAGCAGCTGCAGAGACATTAAGCTTTGAGTCCTAAGTTCCGAGTCTGACACCATTCCTAACGCTCTGTGAGACCCTGGGCAGGTCATTTCCTTTCTCTGGCCCCAATTCCTCTTCGGCTAAATGAAACAATTTGTAAGTTCTTGGCAGCCTGGCTTTTCTGGACTCAGTGACGCTGTTGGGGGGAAGGGTTCGTATGCAGCCCTCAGGTGGAATGAGTGCAGGGAGATTCAGAAAGCTACCAGGTCTGCTCTGGGCCTGGGTCGGGGAGGGGCACCTCACCTGTCCATTCTTCATCAGGTCGGCCCACATGCTGGTGCCGTCACCGCCGCGCATGAGTACATGGTAAGCGAAGAAGTAGACACCTGGCATGGGGCAGGTGAACTTGCCGCTGACCGCCTCGTAAGCGTTCCCCACATTGGTGACCACGTCGTCGAAGCGCAACACCTCGTAACCTTCGTGTGGCCGCCGCAGACCCGCGTAGAAGGCGATGCGAGGCACGTAGCCGGCAGGGGGCGCCACCCCGCCAGGGCCTGGGCCTGGAGGACCCGGTGGACCTGGCCTGCCCGGCTCTCCTGGAGGCCCTCTGGGGCCTGGGGGGCCCGGGGGCCCTCGCAGACCTGCCTTCCCGCGCCGGCCCACCTCTCCCTTGGCGCCCGGAGGGAAGGGGGGCACGGAGGCGGGCGCGCCGTCGGGTCCAGGGCCTCGCGGCCCGTGTGGGTCGCATACCATGCGGCAGCGACCCAGCATCTCATAGTGAGCCGGCCCGCGGGAGCTGTGCACCAGCAGCGGAATGGCCACCAGCAGCAGCAGCACCATGGCCACCCCGACGGCCGCGCCTGCCACCCGCTTGCGGCGGCTCAGCCGCGACGCGGCCAGGGCCAGCAGATCCTCTTCACTCTTGGGCGCAATGGCGGCGGAGGCCCGGGGCTCTCCGCGGGCCCCGGAGGCGGTGGCCGGGCTCGGGCCTGGGTCGGGACCCCCCACCCGACGGCTGCGCCCGGCCCCCCCGCCCCTGCGGGCTCCCGCCTCAGCGGTGCCGTTCCCCAAACCTTCCGTCAAGGCGGAGGTCCCCCCCGTGGGTTGGGCCAGGGGGCTCCCGACGGTTCAAAACCCGTGGTCCTCTATTACCCTCCCGTTCAGCCTAACGTTCCCGGGCGCCTGAAATCAGCGGCTTCTCGGACGGCCGGTTTCTTACAGATCTAGGATGCCTGCTCTCCGGACAGCTGTTTTCTCAAGGATGGCGGCGCCTAGGTCCCCGGCTACCCAGACGGATCGCTCCTGGCCAGAGCCAGGGACTACTCTCCGCGCTCTGGACGTCCCGGGCTCGGCGCTGCGGGTGGCGCCCTCCGGACTCGACCTCCTCATAGGTTTGCGCTCTGGCTCTTGGCGAGCACTGACGCACCTTTCTACCCCAGCCGCGGCCCCAGCCCCTGCTAGAGCCCTGGACCCGCGTTTCTCTCCAGCTGGAGCTCTACCTCTCTGCGTCCCTAACCTTCCTCCCCTCCCTCCCGGGGCGGCAGTGCGGGTGGTGTGAGCCGCTGCGCGGCGGGAGCCTCTATAAGCGGCCCGGGGCGGAGCGACCCCTGGCGCCCAGAGTGGGAAGCGCGGGGGCGGGGCAGGCAGAGGCCCCCACCCGCGTCCCC